GAAAAGAGTTAAAATACTTCCAACACAAATAAATGATAAATTTTTGAGGTGATGGATATCCTAAATACCCCAATATTATCATTACACATTGTATGCATGTATCAAAATAACACATATGCCCAATAATATGTACAAGTATTATTTATCAAAAAAGGCTCATACAAGAATACTTATAGTAGATATCTTTTCTTTTTTTTCTTTTTTTGGTTTCTTCTCCTCAGGCCTAGCCCCTTTTCTTTTTGTTATTATTATTATTATTATTATACTTTAAGTTCTAGGGTACATGTGCATAACGTGCACGTTTGTTACATATGTATACTTGTGCCATGTTGGTGTGCTGCACCCATCAACTCGTCAGCACCCATGAACTCATCATTTACATCAGGTATAACTCCCAATGCAATCCATCCCCCCTCCCCCCTCCCCATGATAGGCCCCGGTGTATGATATTCCCCTTCCCGAGTCCAAGTGATCTCATTGTTCAGTTCCCACCTATGAGTGAGAACATGCAGTGTTTGGTTTTCTGTTCTTGTGATAGTTTGCTGAGAATGATGGTTTCCAGCTGCATCCATGTCTCTACAAAGGACTAAAACTCATCCTTTTTTATGGCTGCATAGCATTCCATGGTGTATATGTGCCACATTTTCTTAATCCAGTCTGTCACTGATGGACATTTGGGTTGATTCCAAGTCTTTGCTATTGTGAATAGCTATCTTTTTAAGCAAGGGGCATCTGTTGCCGATTATCACCAAGTGTAGAAGTCTGAAGACTTTATAAAAAACTATAACTAAAACAATGCTTCTGAATTCACAGATAGAGTTGCTTAGAACAGGCTGGCCTCAGTATTGAAGTAAAAATGTATATTGACTTAAAATAAAACATAAAGTAAGTAATCATAGCGATAGTATGCTGACATGAGAAAATTGTGAAATAGCTGAATATTGAGAAATATTTCTAAACCTAGAAGGAAACTTAGAATCTAGTTAACTATTCACTTATCCACTCAACACTTATTTACTGAGCAGATGCTTTGCATCAGGCATTGTGTTAGGTACAAGCGCCAGAGGTTAGGTGTGCAAATAGAAACACAATTCATCTTGACACTCACAACCCTCACTTTAGTACATCAAGGATATGTAAACAAATATTTATAATAAAACACAGGAAATTCTACGAAAGTGTGTTGAACAAATTGTCTCAGAGAAACTAAAAGGAAGACCAACACTTGTGGGAACTGGGAAAACTTCATAGAGTAATTGTTGTTTGAGTTGATTCTTGAAAAATGAATGATTTTAAATAGTCAAAGAGGAAGGCAGAAGGAGTAGTATAAGTGGGTGAAAAGTTGTACCCTGTGGAAAAGTATGTGTTTTTTTGTGGATAATAACCTGAAGTTTGGGGTTGTTGGAACATATAATATTGGAGCGGTGGAGAGGAGCAAAGGTGAGGCTGAAAGGGAGGCAGGGACCAGGTTGGTAAGGGACTTTGGTGCCATGTCAGTGAGATGCAGAACATGGTGAGAAGGCCATGGATAATTAAATAATTTACTTAGAGGTACACCATGATCACATTTACATATTTAAAACTTATTCTAGTATAGAGATTGAATTACATTAGGGCAAGACTGGAAGTAAGGAAACTTGTCAGAAGGCCGGTTCAGGTAAGAAATAAGTTCAGATAAGAAATAATGGTGGTGTCGGCCGGGCGCGGTGGATCACGCCTGTAATCCCAGCACTTGGGAAACAGAGGCGGGTGGATCACCTGAGATTAGGAGTTCGTGACCAGCCTGGCCAACATAGTAAAACCCCGTCTCTACTGAAAATACAAAAAATTAGCCAGGCATGGTGGTGCACGCCTGTAATCCTAGCTACTCAGGAGGCTGAGACAGGAGAATTGCTTGAACCCGGGAGGCGGAGGTTGCAGTGAGCGGAGGTTGCAGTGAGTGGAGATGACACCATTGCATTCCAGCCTGGGCAACAAGGGTGAAACTCCGTCTCAAAACCACAACAGCAAAAAAAATGGTGGCAAGGGGATATACTTTCATTTCTTACCAAACTGGAGTAATAGCAATTGAATTTATCCATGCATTTGAAACTACCAAAAATTACAAATAAAGGGTATCTATAAAAAATCAACAGGGTTAGATAGAATAAATTAGATCTAGTATTTGATAGCACAACAGGATGACTATAGTCAACGATAATTTACTGTATATTTAAAAATAACTAAAAGTGTATAATTAGAATATTTGCAACATAAAGAAAGATAAATACTTGAGGTGATGGATATCCCACTTACCCTGATGTGATTACTATCCATTATATGCCTGCATCAAAAGATCACATGTACCCCATAAATATGTATACCTACTATGTACCCATAAAGATTAAAAGTACTCAATAGCTGATGTAACAATTAATGGAGAAAGAGTAAGTGCTTTCTACTTGAGTTTAGAAAGAAGACAAGGATGTATATTCTCCCCACTTATCTTCAACCTTCAACAGGAGGTTCTAGCCAATTAAATAAGGCAAGATAAAAATATAGAAGGCATTTGCATTAAAAATAAGGAAGAAAAACTCGTTATTCACAGACGCATGCCAATATATGTAGAGAGTGCAATCATGCAAAGGAAAGTGCAAGAAAACAACTGGTATTATTTCATAAACTTATCAAGATTACTGGATATAAGATCAATATGTAGAAATCAATTGTATTTCCATATGCTAGTAATGAACTGTAACAAATGGTAATAAAAAGAAAATTTACAATAGCTTTGAAAATATTAAATACTTAGGGATAGGCTGGGTGCATTGGCTCACACCTGTAATCCCAGCACTTTGGGAGGTCGAGGCGGGTGGATCACGAGGTCAGGAGATTGAGACCATCCTGGCTAACATGGTGAATTCCCGTCTCTACCAAAAATTAAAAAAAAAAAAAAATTAGCCGGGCGTGGGGGCGGTCATCTGTAGTCTCAGCTACTCAGGAGGCTGAGGCAGGAGAATGGCGTGAACCCGGGAGGCAGAGCTTGCAGTGAGTTGAGATGGCCCCACTGCACTCCAGCCTGGATGACACAGCGGGATTCCATCTCAAGAAAAAAAACAAAAACAAACAAACAAAACAAAAAGGAAACTTAGGGATAAATCTGACAAAAGGGTTGTATACTGAAAAACTTGAAGAATACGTGAATTAGAACATGGCAGCGTGTTAAAAAAAGAATTGCATATTGAAAACTTCAAAACTTTCTAAGACAAATAAAAGATCTAAAAAATAGAGAGCTATAACCTGCTGATAGGTCAGAAGACACAATATTATTAACGTGCCAATTTTCTCTACATTGAGTTATATATTTAAAGTAATTCAGATAAAAATTCCAGCAGGCTTTTGTGTGTGTGTGTGTGTGTGTGTGTGTGTGTGTGTAAAAATGTATGAGCTGATTCTAAATTTGATGTGGAAATGACAAGGACATAGGAATAGGCAAAAGAAATCTGAAAATAAGAAACAAAGCTACAGAACTAACGCTATCTAATTTCAAGATTTATTGTAAAGCTACATCAATCAAAACAGTGATGTTGATATAAAGTAGATCAAAGGAACAGAATAGAGAATCCAGAAGTGGTCCCAAACATATATGAACAATTGATTTTCTACAAACATGAAAAGACGACTTAATAGAGAAAGGTTGTCTTCAACAAAAAGCACTGAAGCAACGGAATATCAAAACCTGCAAAAAAGAACTTTTATCCATTCATTGCATTATGTACAAAAATTACCTCAAAATGGGTCATAGAGCTAAATATAAAACCTAAAACTGTAAAATCTTCCAGAATGAAATATAAAAGAATATCACTGTGATTTAGGTTTAGAAAAACTATTTCTAGACGGTCACATGCATGGTGAAAAGCATTATCTATAAAAAATAAATTGATAAATTGGATTGTATCAAAGTTAAAAACTTTGGTTTTCCCAAAGGTGCTGTTAAGACAATGAGAATATAAGCCAAAGGTTGGAATAGAACATTTGCAAAATAAATAGTTGATAAAGGAATTAAATCTACAATTTCTAAATAATTCTCAAATCTCAATAATTAAGAAACAAACTGGAATTAAAAACAAGGGGAAAATATTTGAACAGACACATCATGAAATAAGAAATATAAATGGCCAATAAACAAGGAAATAATGTTTGATGTAACTAGTCATTAGAGAAATGCAAATTACAGATAGAATAAGATATCACTGTACCTTTATTAGAATGGTTAAAATTTAAAAGCCTGACCATACTAAGTATTGAAAAACATGTGGCATAACTGACATTTTCATACACTGATGGTGGGAGTGTAAAATGGCACTTTGCAAAATAGTCTGGAAAATAATATGTTAGCTTCTTAGAAAGTTAAAGATACCTACCATATGATCAAGTCATTCCACTCATTTGTATTTACCCAAGAAATGAAAGCATATGTTGATAAAAGACTTGTATGTGAATGCTCATAGCATCTTTATTTTTAATAATCCCAACTGGAAACAGCCCTAGAATCTATCAGCACGTGAATGGATAACCAAATTGTGGCATGTCTATACAATGGAATACCACTCAGCAATAAAACAGAATGAATTATTTATATCCTAAAAACATAGTTGAATTTCTTTTTTTTTTTCCCAAAATGTTAAGATTTTATTTACAAAGCTTTTTTGTTGTACAGAAAGTAAAAATGCTGTTATAATCTCGGTGTAACTGGTAGCCACAGATGGTAGACTCATCAGTCACAGCTATCCACAATACAGCAAGAGTCTTACACAAAAACCTAACAATGCTTACAATTTTGTTGGGGTGAAGTCCACAAGCTTGGTGGTAGGTTACCAAGAGGGACTACATGGAAAGAAGTCAGAATGTCACAGGAACTATTCTTTGGCTCTTTGGGTGGGTGGGTGTCCTGGGGTTTCTATCACAGCTACCTTTTTTTAAAAACAAAAACAAAAACAAAAACAAAAACAAAAAAACAAAAACAGCTACCAAATCCATGAGCAGTCTAACCAACACTCAACAGTTCTGTTTCTGCAGGTCATCTGGGGTCTTAATCATCTTCTCCTTCATCATCTGTTTCTCTCTTCCTCTTTTCACCTTTCCCACCTTCTTCCTCCTCTTCATCTTCATCCTCATCTTGCATCTTCTTCATCAAGTCCAAATTCTTCTTCCTCCTCACTGACCTCATCGTCATCCTCATCCCCTTCTACATCTTCATCTTCATCATCTTCTTCATCAAACTCCTCTTCTTCACCATTCTCATCCTCCTCATCTTCCTCATCTTCTCGTTCTTCATCCTCCTCTTCATCCACACCATCCACCTCGGCATCTGAGTCAGGTGCTTCCTGGTCCTCTTGGTCATAGCCATCCAAGTAGGTAAGCTGGGGCAGGAGCTTGAAGATACTCTCTCGGTAGTCACTCAGATTAGTAACCTCACAGTTAAAGAGGTCCAGGCTTTTCAGACATTCTAACTTTTTCAAAGGTTCCAAGGTGCTGATATCTTTCAGTTTATTTCCACTTAAGTTTAGATGTGTGAGATTTGGAAGTTTTTCAGCTAACATGTCCAGACCTCCAAAGATTCTATTTTCACTGAGTTCAAGCTTTCTCAATTTAGGCAGCTTGGGGAGATTTGAAACTGAGATCAAGCCTACATTTATTAAACTGAGGAACTGTAAGTTCACAAATTCAGCTGTTAAGCCTTCAATTTTTCCATCATTTGATTTGCAATTGCCCAAGACAAGTTCTCAACAGCTGCCGGGGTCTGATTCCTCAGCTCCAGGTGGATCCTCCTCTTCATGCCCATGTTCACCTCTTCCCCCCTCTTCAAACTTAACTTTCCGCGGCGGGGTCGGAGAGGGGAGAGGCGTCCCTGCCTGCGCAGTGAAGGTCGTCGGAAGGGTTTGCTCGCGGCGGAGGCCAGCAGCGCGGTCCTGGGTGGCTGGCAGCGTATGGGCAGGCGAGCAGAGCCCCCGGAGCCAAGTTACTCACGGGAGCGCAAAACATAGTAGAATTTCTAAATAATTTTTCTGTGAAAGAAACCAGAAAAAAGCATACATGGTTGTATGAGTCCATTTATATAAAAGCCTAGGAAATGCAAACTAAATGTATTAATTTTCTAGGGCTGCCATAATGAAGTACCATAAAATGACTGGCTTAAACAACAGAAATGTATTGTCTTACAGTTCTGGAGATTAGTAATATGAGATTCAGGTGTGGGCAGGTTGGTTCATTCTAGGGGATGTGAGGAAGCATTGGTTGCATGTTTCTTCACTAGTTTCCGGCAGTTTGCTGGCAATCTTTGGTGTTCCTTTGGGTGTAGAAGGGTTACCCTGATCTCTGCCTTAATTGTCACATGGCATTTTCCTTCGTGTGCTTCTGTGTCCAAATTTCCGTTTTTGTCATGTAAGTCATAGTGGATTAAGCGCCACCATAATCTTAAATTGATTGTCTCTGTGAAGATCAGATTTCCAAATAGGGTCACATTCTGAGGTTCTAGAATTAGGAATTTGATATATACATTTTTGGAGGGACACAGTTTAACCCATGACACTAATGTATCATAACAGAAAGTAAATAAGTGGTAGGACTGTGGGCATGTGGAAAGGAGTGGGAAGAACGTGGCATGAGAAAACTTGGGACTGGTGGACATGTTCATTATTTTTATTATGGTAATATCTCAACTGGTGTATTATACATAAAAAATGTAATCAGTTATATACTTTAAATATGTGCAGCTTATTATATGTCAATTGGAGCTCAATAAAACTGTTTGAGAAAATCCCACTGGGTGCAACGGCTCATGCCTGTAGTCCCAGCACTTTGGGAGGCTGAGGTGGGCAGACTGCTTGAGCTCAGGAGTCTGAGACCAGCCTGGGAAATGTGGCAAAACCCCATCTCTACAAAAAGTACAAAAATTAGCCAGGCGTCCTGGTCCATGGTTGTAGTCCCAGCTACTTGGGAAGCTGAGGTGGGAGAATCTCTTGAACCTGAGAGTTGGAGGCTGCAGTGAACAAGCTGGGATTGTGCCATTGTACTCCATCCAGGGTGAAAGAGAGATACTCTGTCTCAAGAAAGAGAAAGAAAGAAAGCAGGAAAGAAAGAAAGAAAGAAAGAAAGAAAGAAAGAAAGAAAGAAAGAAAGAAAGAAAGAAAGAAAGAAAGAAAGAAAGAAAGGAAGGAAGGAAGGAAGGAAGAAAGAGAGAGAAAGAAGGAAGGAAGGAAGGAAAGGAAGGAAGGAAGGAAGGAAGGAAGGAAGGAAGGAGAAAGAAATGAAGGAAGGAAGAGAGAAAGAGAGAGACGAAGGAAGGAAAGAAGGAAGGAAGGAATGAAGGAAGGAAGGAAGGAAGCAAATTTTACACTGTACTAAAACAGAAATCTTAGAATGAATCATTGGTTTCTGGCTTGTGTTTATTAATGGCAGTTGCTACTTCATATTAAAGAAAAGCCCAAAAGGGGATTAATTTGGAATGGGAACAAGAGCTGATGGATTCAACTTCAGATATGTTGACTTACTTGGATATTTTTGTGGAGCAAACAATTGAGGATGTCCAGTAGACAGTTTAACAGATCTGAAGTTTGGAAATGAGCTCTTGGCTGCATATAGGAGGTAGTTGTGTGTTGGTGGTATTTAAAACCATAGCATAAATTAGAACACCTAGAGCAATAGTACAGTACTGAAAAACGAGAGTGAAAAGAACAAAATGTTTCAGGGATATGTAAGAGAAGAAGAGCCATTAAAGGAGATAAAGAAGGACTTTTCAGAATGAGATGCAGAGAACCAAAGGGATTGATATCACAGAAATCAAAGTAACAATTCCCAGGAGGAGGGTGTGATAATTTGTGTTAATTACTCTAAAGTAATTATGCGTGAGATTGAGAATTGTACAATAATGGATCCAAATACTAAAATTAGTAAGATAAATGTGGGCCACCATGATCCCTGCCTTCATGGATTTTGTGAGTTTTAGAATAGACAAAGCAGTCAGAAAACATTCTATAAATCCATAGCAGACTGCATTAAGTACAGGGGTTCTGACAACAAATAAGGTGTTTTCAAACTTTTGGATTTACTATAAATATGTAATAGTTTAATCTCTCTCTCTCCTAAAATACTCTTTGTTCTAAGAGGGTCTGTAAAAGATCATTTGCTTTTTGCTTCTGAAGATTGGTCCGTCTCAGCTACCAGTCTAGCAGAGAAGGAGATGACAAACTGGAGTGTGGTCAAAGAGTCAAAGGTTGTGGGCAAGCCTGTGGCCCAAGTCAGCAGGGGTTTCAGAGGAAGCTCAACAAAAGAATTTGGAACAGTTACAAGTATCTGTAGATGGAATCCTGCTGTGATGCTGGTAGTGATAGTGGTAGTGAGGTTCCTCTGCTAACACTGAATGTAAAATTTTATAAAATTTTGCCTATGACAAACTTTACCTTTCTCTGTCTCCACTGAAGCATAGCTTGAGATCTGAGAAGATAGCATGGGTGAAGAATGCCATGATAACTGAGGAATGCAGAGGTTGCTCCTTCCCATTGAATATATTTTACTAAAATTCCCTATAGCCAACAGGTAATCATCACATCTCCACCATGATAGAAACAGAGCACAAAGCTGCCCACTGTTCATTAAGATCCTGTTTATTTGGGAAAAGGAGGGTTCCTTCTAGGAATGAGGAGTAGTGCCAAAATCAGAGGTCACCTAGATCAATGATGCCAGCTATGAGGAATGGTACTAGGAAAGCAATTTTCATGATAAGTAGAAAAAATACAGATAGCATGAAGTTTCTGGGGTTCTGACAGTAGGAAAGAAGGTTCTGCTATCCATGGCCCTAGGTGTTTGTAATTTTTTTTTTCCCAAAATGTTGCTCCCTGGAGTGCATACTTAGGAAAATTTGAAAATGCTTGTGTTTTGGCTTTGGAAAACAATCAAACCAGTTTGGCAAAGGTCTATACTCAGGGAGTCACGATGATGGTGCAATGAAAATCATGTTCTCACTTGCTGAAAGCATCACTGAAATGTACATTCTTGTAGAGTAGACCAGAAAAAAAGGGATACTGGAAGGCTTCCCCTTAGTTGTCCCAATTTAGACTGTATACAGGCATTATGATTGCATTAGTAATATGCAAATGCTACAGCCCAAGTGTTCTACATATGTTTCCAGCCCAAATCCTGAAAACAAAAGGGGAGATAAAGGAAAAGCAAGAAGTCAAATTGGAGAGTTTCAAGAGTGTCTTACATGCATCCCGACTTTCCATACTTGGGAGTTGAAGGTTATGGACTCTACCAATGAGAAATTCCAGTGATAGTATTTTAATATCCTAGAGACAAAAACAGCCTTAACCCCAGAAGTTACATGTTTTAAAAGATCAAATCACTAGGTGAAGTTTGCAGAGGCCTTCAAATTCATGGAGACATAGAGAAGGATAGACAAAGGAAAAGACAGTTGTGATTTAAGGGCATGCTTAGGAATGGTGGCATGCAATTGGCCACAGAACGCAGCTATGCTCTATTCTGAGTCTGAGTAATACTATGGAGTATGTGCAGCTAGAATCATGCCCATGATAAGCAGAGATATTTTGTCCATTATTCGTGACTTTCTTTTTGGCCTGCTTAGAAGACTTCCACAGTTTAAATATATATAAAGCTGACTATTTCTTCCGGTTATCTGAGAGACCACTTGTTTGAAAGGATGCCTGGCTGGGCACGGTGGCTCACGCCTGTAATCCCAGCACTTTGGGAGGCCGAGACCGGCGGATCACGAGGTCAGGAGATCCTGGCTAACACGGTGAAACCGCGTCTCTACCAAAGATACAAAAAATTAGCAGGGCGTAGTGGTGGGCTCCTGTAGTCCCAGCTACTTGGGAAGCTGAGGCAGGAGAATGGCGTGAACCCGGGAGGCGGAGCTTGCAGTGAGCTGAAATCATGCCACTGCACTCCAGCCTGGGTGACAGAGTGAGACTCTGTCAAAAAAAAAAAAAAAAAAGAAAGAAAGAAAAGAGAAGAAAGGATACTTTAAATGTGTCATATAACTATTGGGATCTTTTCCAGTGATTTTGGGGCTCCATAAACACCAAGGAAAATACCAGGTGGGGCAGTGGGTGTGCCTGCTAACTGAGTGACTTTGGCCTGCAGCATTTTTATCTGCTTAGTTCTGTACCTGGGACAATACTCCCTGTTCTCCTGTTGGAAGGTGGGGTTTTCTGCCTATAGTGTAAAACAGCTCTGTCATTTCCCTGGTGCTCTCTGGCATCCTGGAAGCAGATGTTGTCTAGAAGAACAGATTCTTATCTGGCCTTATAGCTGGGCATAAACCTGACAAGCTGTCAATTCTGAGATGGAAGCATACATAGTCTCAAACAGAAAGGCTTAGATGAGGTTCTTGAGAATCCAAATAGGATACCAAAATCAAGTGTGCAGAGGTAAAAGGAGAGTTGGATATAAATTCTGTTCAGTTCCTAGGCAACTCCAATGAGAGATGGCAAATTTGTCCTTACTGTTCCTTTGTTTAAAGCTTCCGGATGAAGTGCAAGTGATGAGAAGCTGGAGCTGTAGCAACTCATTCGTATCAGTTATTTTCAAATACACTGGTTCCTTAGTATCTGTGGGGAATTCGTTCCAGGAGCCCTGCACACACTAAAATCCTCAGAGGCTCCAGTCCCTTTTATAAAATGGTGTAGTATTTGCATATAACCTATGCACATCCTCCTGTACACTTTAAATTATCTCTTGATTATTTGTCATGCCTAATATAATGTAAATGCTATGTAAACAGTTGTTATACTGTATTGTTTCTTAATTTGTATTATTTCAATTGTTGCATTGTTATTTTTATTGCTTTTATTTTTGAATATTTTTGATTTGCAATTTGTTGAATACACATATGTGGAACTGGAAGGTAGGGAGGGGTGACTGTATGCAGCAGTATTCATGTTTTAGAGTCAAAATGTGTGTGTTTATTCAGCTATCTTTCATTCAAGTATAGGTATTCACATTAGTTGTTAA